TGTTAAAGGCGATGCCATGTTAGAGCGGGAGCCAACGACCTCCCGTTAGCGGCCTCGGCTGCCCCACTATTTGCAGCCGCATCTCAACATGCTCCAATGCAATCAAGACCAAACTTGTATGTCCTCTCTGTGTTTGCAGGGGAAGTAAATACACGCAAATAGTGTTCGCGAGAGGTTCAAAACTCGTTTGGTGTATCTATTCGAATCGACATAGCGGAAATTATTTCGCCAAGACAATGGAAATGCCTGGGATCTAGAGGTCACCCGCAGACTAAGCTCCACTCCCCTATATTCCGGGACTTCAGTATGTCCATGTCCCTAGGTTATCACCATCGAATTATTTCATCTCGTCGTTGTGGTGCTATCATTGCGCTTGAGCGGAAGGCCATTGCTCTTCCTAAGACGCATAGTGTCTTGAGTTGAGTACATTGACCCACTTCTTCATAGTCTCCGCCCGACCGCTCGGCCGACCCTGGCATTCTCGAAATAAAAAGGGCAGGTGCTGGAGAACCGTCTGTTAGCCGTACGGGGCTGTGGCGCGGATGCTCCCGTGTAGCCGAAGCACCTAGAAACCCGTTGTTAAACCCGTCTCCGCTGCGTCTAAGCCCTGACTGTGTATCGCTCCGGGCTCTTCAATCTACAGGCTGGTCCGCCTGTTCGCGGATGTGGTCGCTTGAGATTGCCCAAAGCAGCCTATGCCAAGATCTGGTAGAGGTGTGCATCATCTTCCGAAGATTCAAGAGCCTCACGAAGCTGGAAATGTGTCTCTCATTGTCCATTGCAGCAGTTACACCATCAGGACTACCGGAATGGTTGGATCCATCCCTTCACGGACCTTCCTTCTTGCTGCCCGAGACCCGGGTATTATCGGTCGATGGCACAACGGACAGTACTCATTGTACCTTGTGAACCACTCGTCGAGACAATGTGAGTGGAAAGCGTGAGAGCAGTGGAGTCCCCGAACCTGCGCATCTTCGGCGAAATCGTCAAGGCAGATGGCGCTGTCTCACAGTCAGTCCAGTCCGCTCATCGAATATGGCTTATTTGGCATACTCACCACAGGGGATCGGATGCTTGCGTTGAATCAGATGTCTTCTCCTTTTGGCTTTCGAGCCAATCATAAAAGTTTTGAGATTTGATGTGCGTCTCTAGCTCGTCTTGTCGCGTCTTCCAGCGCTTCTCTTTGTGATTAGACTCATCGCGGACGCATCGTGGGAGAATGAAGCCCCTGCGGCGGTTCCTATGGTCAGCTTAGACATGCATGAGGTCCTCTGACACCAGTGCGGAGACTGACATGATGACCAGCGTAAGAAGTAAAATGATCAAGACCGAGGGCACGATGATCGCGATGACGATCGTACCACTCTTTACACTCGCCGGCGACGTCTCTTCTTCAGTGTTGTTTGCCATAATAATAAGACTGGTAGGGTATATCCACACAGAGAGAAGAGAGAGAGCCAAAGCTTGAGCGCGCTTCGAGGTGTTGCGTATATACGGCGGATTGGAGTTCCTTTGTCGACCGATTTAAGCTGCGTGCATACCAAGGGTGTCGCAATCACCGACTGCGCGCATGTGGTGACCCCGGAGTAACGGAATGTATGGCTTGAGGACCACGGGATGGGTAGATAGGAAAGCAGTGTTCACGTTCGAGCGCGCAGCTCGGAGGAAGGCGGATTCGCAGAGACAGAGGAAGGCCCAACCTTAAAAGTAGCTACATCATCGTCAGATGAAGCCCAAGGCTGGCTCTGCAGCTCGATACACCCAATGCGGGCTTGGCCTATCTACCCTTGACGCGTCGCTCCTCTCAGCGTGCTCCATTCCTGAGCCAAGGGCAGAGCTCTTAAAGTTGGCCAACCAGGTTTCATCGGTGTGCTCTTGTGACGCGGGGTCGAGAGCTGAAAGGGCCGACAAACTTTATGGAGGGCAAGGCGCCCGCGTTGTAACATGCTGCGCAACCTTATAAACCTCGATCCACGGGAGAACAAGAACTCTTGGGTGGGACGATGGCGCTAGCAGTCGGGCCATGTGAGGGTGTGAAGGATCGGTGCTCCAGGTGGAGACGGAGGGTGGGCGCTAGGACCCACACCACGCCCATCACTTGTGGGGTAGCAGATCTTGTAAACTGGAGTTCTGCTCGCGATAAGCATTTTGTTACGCGTTCCTTGGTATGGGCGCCGTGGTTGTTCGAGTGCGCGAGTTTCCTTTTGGACGACCTCAGGAAGATTTCCTGAACACGAGCGCTACGCCGAATATAGACTAGGGCGTAGCACCGAATAAACGAGCTCCTTCGTAAGCAAACACGCAAGCAACACGCAAACCTCATCCGCTACGAACCGTTTCGCCGACGCGCTGCGCAAAGCCACACAGCTAGCCACACAAAGGCCCTGCATTCGAAAGCGAGAAACACGCCCGCTCTCTTGAAGAATATCACATGAGGCCGGACTATCCACAACTCAACACCAGCTGAACACACAGGTGAACTAGTATGCTCCAATGGTCGGATCGAGGATCCGAGCAAGCGAATGACATGGCCTCCGTTCAGCCTTGCAAACTTCAGCCGCAAATGCGCATCTTTCTCTAGCCTCGCGTCTCTCTTTTTGTACACAAACGAGCAAGCTGAAGATATGGCGTTTTCCGGTAGGTCTGGGCTGGTCTTATTTCGATGTCGGCGCGCCCAAGAGAGAGCAGTGGATCCAACACACCTGGCGTTCGACGCGCAGTAGGTATATTTGAAGGGGTGTGCCTTCCACCGGACGTGTTTGACAAACCGTCCGAACCATCCGTTTCTTTTGGCACACGAACATGCCATACCAGTACCAACCACTTCCGACTCTCCACAACTCAGAAGATGTATACATACGATTGCTGGAAGTTCACAGGGGTCCTCCAAGTGGCCCTATCACCGGTCGATTGTATACAACGTTGTTGTCGAAAGCTCCGAAGTTCTACGCCCTCTCCTATAATTGGGGTCGTGAGCCACACAACGCTACCATCCATATCACCAATGCGGCCCCACCTCGTGATCTGGAGAATGACAACATCCTCGAAATACCCCGCACGTTAATACCGTTACTGTACGAGATTCGAGGATGGCGTTGGCAGAAAGCACGCACTCTGTGGGTCGACAGCGTGTGCTTGAACCAGAAAGATGATGAGGAGAAGACCGCGCAAGTACCAAAGATGCGACAGATCTACATGAAGGCTTCTGTCACTGTGAGCTGGCTGGGTCCGAAAGAGGCGGGGGTAGAAGCAGCGTTCGAATACGCTTCTGGACTACACACAACCTACCGACGAGAAATGGCGGAACAGAAACAAATAGTCTTGACACTGGAGGAAGAGAAAGAGAAAGATGTTCGCGTTAAGGTCAAGGTAGGCGACCCGGCACTCGAGACGCTGCTGAGGTTGCTAGATCGGCCTTACTTCGAGCGATCCTGGATCATGCAAGAAGTCGTGGTTTCTAGTTCGGTGTGGTTCATGTGTGGAAGCGCCAAGATACCCTGGAATTCGCTGCTGGCTGCATATCTGTATCTTTTGACGAGTCAACTGTGGCTGTGGGAATTTTATGAAGGAGCTAGGCTAAGCAACGTCATCCTCATGAAGCTTAGTGAGATGGAATTTGCCAATGGCGTCGATCTCGATTGGCCTGGGACGCTGCTGAGACATCGAGTTTGTTTTGCCGGTGATTCTAGGGACAAGATTTACGCTTTCTACGGTATGAGGTGTAAAAAGGCATTGGAAGATGTGGGAATCGAGCCAGACTACGACAAGAACCTTACGCCGGAGATACTGTACACTCGATTGGCTGCGCGCACGCTTCAGAAGGGGCAAGTGGCAATCCTCCACGTGCCTCGTCTCGTTACTACCCCCCTCGAAGAAGGCGATCCGAAATACAAACTGGCACTCCCATCGTGGGTTCCGGACTGGCGGTGGACAGAAGCAACTCCTATGTCGCTGGTTAGAGCCGAAATGCTCGCCGATGATGCTTACACAGTGCGCGATTACCATGCTTCGGACAACTCTTTATTTGAACCCGGCTTCGGTCTTGAGGCGTATAACATGCCTCCAGACCCTGGTACCTACCCAATGGACTTGCCCAAGATGCTGAGGCTGTCTGGAGTTACAGTCGCAAAGGTCACGCAACTCACACCACGCCGTTGGCTAGCGCGCAAAGCCCCACTTCGCCAATCGTTACTTGAACAAGCAAGCATACTACAATTCAACATGCATCAAGTTCATGAGTGGGAGGTTCTCTTTCGACCCCAGCACGACAAGCAAGTGTACCCTGCGACCGGCGAGTCTGCGACTGAAGCCATGTACGAGACCTTCATGGCTGGCGAACTACAAAACACCCCAGGAGCCAAAAGAAGCGCTTATGCCGCCTTTGAGAGGCGCCAGCGACTCTTGCGGCTTCTTTACACATTCAATATCCACGGCTATTTGACTTGCTACATCGCGGTAGTCTTGATTGAGCGTATGCTTCGCCTCTTCGGCTGGGTAAATCCCGAAGCGCAGTTCAGGGCTATGGTGGGGCATATGTTGAATCGCAAGGGCGCACGAATGGTCGATCTTGTAGACTCTAAGATAACTTATCATGCTCTGGTACCCAGTATATGTCGGCTTGGAGACCATGTCGTACTAGTTGGGGGCGTTGTGACACCGCTCATATTGCGGGAGGGTGTAGGCACGTGGGAGTTCATAGGTGATGCTTATGTTCATGGAATCATGAAGGGAGAGATCTGGGAGGAGAGGAAGGGAAACTGTCAAGATATGTGGATTGCTTGAATGGCGAGATATTCCACGCTCTGGGACTCAATGCACGGTCTGCAAAATGGTGGTCTTCACATTGCCAATCACTACCAGATCCACGCTATAGGTACCACCAGTCTAACTCGGCCACCGCGCACTCTAATACCCACCTGCTTCCACATCTAAAAAGCTCGCATTCTCAACACCCGGAACTTGAGTAGAGTCGAACAATTTGTGACCTTCTACAACACATCATGTCTGAATCGAAGATTACAACTTTCGCCAACGAGACATTGGACAAGATCTTCGCCTATCTCGCCGACAAGGATGCCTGGCTTGCTCTGATTAAGGGCAAAGTAGCCGCCACGAATAGCTCTTAAGATATCTTGCTAACTTATTACTAGTATATAGCCCCCTTGCTATGCTTTGCCAACGCGGTACTAAGACCTCTCATTCTTTGTGCTAACAGCTTGATAGACACACCGCAGCTTCAGAGCATCAGCCCAGCAACTTCTCTACTGCGACATCCAAGTACCTGCGCAACATACTCCAGTTCATAATGGACGCTGCTCGATGCTCTTGACCGCGCTCACAGCCGCCCCGCATCTCGCCGGCTCAGTACAAACGCTACGAATCGATTGCCAGCTCGAAGGCGCGTACCCATATGGCAAACTATCCCTCGAACGAGACGCGATTCGGGGGATTCTCGCCAAACTTGCGAATTTACAAAACTTGACTATCTTTATCCTGGACGATCCGCGATCAACATTTGAGCAAATGGACGCATCATCCGAGATTGCTCAAATGTAAGATTACTGACCAAACGTGATTGTCGGCAAGGAGCTAACGTCAAATACAGGCTGAGAGATCACACTACCACACCTATCAGCATAGACTGTCCTGAGCATCACTTAGCCATGTCAACTTGGCTCTTCGGTTTGTCCACCGCCAAAACACTAGTCGTACGAGAGAATATCACGCACGCAGCGCTCGGGAATTTTACCGCGCCCTCGATCCAATGGTTTGACACAGTCAACTTCAAAAATCTCACCTCCATTGACTACAAATGGTGTGCATATCCATCAATACACAATGGACGTGCTGCTGTGAAGAAAGCTGGCACTGCTAGTCAACTGGAGAAATTGCGCTTCACATGGTACCTCGACGGCGCGCCCACACTGGGCCTAGATGGCAGCATCGCTAATTTATGGGCGACTCAACAGACGCTACGAGAACTCACTATCCTGCCTGGCACATGCTACGAAGTACCGCAGAGACCTTGGAGCCCAACTGGATTCACCAATTTTACCGCCTTGCGGATTCTACATGTGCCGGCTTTTGCGTTTTTCGAGGAATTGTCATGCGGTAGCCTGAAAGCAAATCCCAACCGCGTGGGCTTTGAGCTCAGGAGCGATATCACGACTCTCTTACCACCGAAGTTACGCGAACTAGGGATCTGGTTCAGATACCCATCTGGTATATTCGCCACGGGTGGGACGAAGATGCGGCAATTCCAGGAGCTGTCTGAACCGGAGAGACTAAAGTGGTGTGGTTGGATACCGGCGTTGCTCCAACTGCGCAGCTTGCGCCGAGTTCGAATGAGCGAGAGCCTTTGCGCTCATGATGGAGGTGGTTGTTGGAAGCAGGAGCGTGGCAGCTGGCCGAGTTGCAAGTTCATACTACCGGAGGTGGTGAGCGAGGCTTTCGCTAAGGCAGGGGTGGACCTGGAAATTATGGTGTTGGATAGATTGGCTGTGTATCATGGGATGTATTAAGATGGTTGGTACTGGGGCTGGATATATGCGCCTTGGGTATTTATGGGGGTAGGAGGGATGGCGTTGAGTGGTGGCAAGGTTATGTTACTCAGTTATGTCGCTCAATGACTCAACCGCTCACAGGGGAACGCAGCGATGGCGATGATAGCACGAAAAGATGTTCATCATTGAATGCTTGACTACCTGAAAGTGTCCATAGCAGCCACTCGTGATATCAAGATCAACTTCCTTGAAGATAGAACTTTCCACAAATCCCATTGCTAATTATTATCGACCCGCTCGATGGTCCGTTCTGCAGTGAGATGCTTGCTCCTTGGGATCCACCATCGCAAGCACCATTGTCTCGTGTCAAGAGGATACAAAAGGTATTGCCAGGCTGATACGAAGTTCCGACACAGGTGGGTGTGGAAATACAGGCGGCGCAGCAATCATAGGCCGACCCGACATCATTGAGAAATTGCGGCAAGCCGGCGGTCCCGAAGGAGTCGAAGCCCTTGCCGTTGATACTGGTAATCATGTTGTCGGGGCCGCAGGCGGCGTAGTAAGTAGAAGCTGGTTCGGCTACTTCAATCGTTTGGGTAGCAAAATATGTGAGGGTAGTGGGCTGGATCTGCACTTGCGTAATGACTGTGCCAGTGGGTACAGTGACTGTTGTTGATGCGCGGATGGGAGTAAGCGTGGTCGTGCTGACCTCAGTTGTAGTAGTAGTAACGGTAGAGGTAGGCGCTGACGTTTTGACAGTCTTGGTCTTCTTCGCAGTCCGAGTGATGGTTGAAGTGCTGATCACCTTTGCGATGCCGACGCAGGCCACTGCTGTAGGGTAGACGGCAGGTGAGCATGTTGGTTTTCCGCCTTTGTTCAAGAAGATCCGCTGTTCTTGGCCCCGTTCTTCTAGTGCGGCTTCGTTCGATGATGTTTCGGAGAGGCTGGCGGATCTTCGCTTCCTGTTGGGGAAGGTTGATTGGATGGGCTGGAAATTTGCAGGAGGTACTACAGTCGTTGTCGCAGCGGTAAGCGTGACAGTGAGAGTGGCGGTGTCTGTTACGCTCGTGGTGCCCGTGACTGTTACTAGGACTGTGTCGGTAGTCGTGAGAGTTTCAGTGAACGTGTCGGTCTCTTGAGTGTGGGTCTCAGTCATCACGCTCGTCGCTGTGGCGGTGACCGTGGCGGTAACAGGTGGAGGAGTGACGACATAGGTAGGCGTCTTCGTTGTGAACTTGAAGCCATAGAAAGGTACCGTCAAGATGCGAGACGTTGTCTTGACGGTAGCAACCGGCTTTGGACCTTGCTTGGTGATACAAGTAACGTAGGACTTTGTCGTAGCAGTTGCGCTAGCTTCAAATGCAAGCAAGAGAGCGCCGGCGAAGAAAGTATGTGAGAGATGCATGTTGCCACCGTGTATATATGAGCTTTCCGAAGTGTCTGATGGTCCTATTGTCGCATTCACAGCTCTTATATATGCCTTCGTTCTTCCAGCTCATCGTCCCCGACTCTTCCCCAACTTGACCTGGCGACTGGACAAGGCGACACCCATACTTTGTTCAGCCAGCCATTTCAGCCTTCTTGAGCCATCACGCACTGCCCAGAATGTAATGATCGACATATGGAGCACATTTCGCGTTAGTGCATAAAATGATGCATCCCGAATAGGTTTGAAGAATGAATGCTGTCGCGACCACAGGGCTAGATCGCAAGTGTGGCTTGTCGGCGGTATGTAGACGTATTCGCCAGTTCTTGACATTGGAAGGCGTCCGGTCACCAGTGATTGGAGACACGAGGATCCAGTGCTAGTGTTTAAGGCCTCCAACTTCGAGAGTCCAGTATAGTGCAAATGTGGAGACTGGGCTGAGTGGAAGTCTGGGCCCGAAATGCGGAATCTGGAAGCAAAATGCAAGCTGCCGTGAAATAGGAAAGATGCAGGAACTGGAAGACACTGGTGGACTGTGTGGAATCTAGAACGCTAGTGGAGTCACGTGATACGCGGTGGCGCTAAGACGGGTAGCGTTAGCTCCGAACGTCCTTTGAGAGGCGGTCGCCGCCGTCGCATACAGAACAGACAGGACACTACACGTCCGCACTCACCCACCCCCCTTCACCTCCCCGCGCCTAATCAACCCAGTCGCGATCATGGCCGAGCCGTACGACTACGACGGTATGGAGGACGAGTACGAGGATGAGGAGAACCGCGTCTTGCCCGAGGACTGCTGGGCGGTCATCAGCTCCTTCTTCGACACCAAGGGTCTGGTCTCGCAGCAGCTCGACTCGTACGATGAATTCACGCGCAACACAATCCAGGATATCGTAAAAGAAAACGGCAGCGTCATTCTCGAGCAAAATACGCCCTACAACCCCGATGAGGAGGAGAACCCCATCATCAAGCGCCGCTATGAAATTAAATTCGGGCGCGTCTACCTGGCGCGGCCAACACACACAGAAGGCGACGGCACCACGGTGCAACTTTACCCTCACGAGGCGCGTCTACGTAATCTCACCTACTCCGGTGCCATGTTGGCCGATATCGAGAACCGAATCATGGTCGCCCGCGAGGGACGCGAACCGGAGGAAGGCGATGACGAGGAAATGGAGGGCGGCTACACAGGCGGACCATCGCAGATCCGGTGGGAGCGCGAAGACATGCCAATGGACGATGGCGCTGCGGCGCGAGTCTTCATCGGAAAGCTTCCCGTCATGTTGCGGTCAGAGCTCTGCCATTTGCGAGCGCAGTCCGATGCGGACCTGTTCGCTCTGAATGAGTGCCCATACGATCAGGGTGGATATTTCGTTATCAACGGAAGTGAAAAAGTGCTCATCGCCCAGGAGCGCAGTGCAGCGAACATTGTACAGGTCTTCCGAAAGAAGCAGGGTCCCATTCCATGGATTGCCGAGATTCGAAGTGCGGTCGAGAAGGGCACCCGGTTGATCTCATCTTTCAACATCAAGTGGGCGGAGAACTCACTCGCAGGTCCCGGAAAACGTATCCCCGGTCCCTTCGCATACGCCACCCTCCCATACATCAAGGCGGACGTGCCCATGGCCATCGTCTTCCGCGCGCTCGGCATCGTCTCCGACGAAGAGATTCTGAGCCACATCGTCTACGACCGTACCGACACACAAATGCTGGAGCTGTTGAAGCCCAGTATAGAGGAGGGTTCAGTTGTCCAGGACCGAGAGACCGCTCTTGACTTTATTGCCAAGCGCGGTGCCAACTCAGGCACGAAGGACAGACGTCTCAAGTTCGCGAGGGACATTATGCAGCGAGAATTCTTGCCGCATATTTCCCAAAAAGAGGGCCAGGACACACGCAAGGCCTACTTCTTTGGTTACATGATCCACCGCCTTTTGCAGTGTGTGCTGGGTCGTCGCGACGAGGACGATCGTGATCACTTCGGTAAAAAGCGTCTGGATCTCGCTGGACCTCTGGTTGCCAACTTGTTCCGTATTCTCTTCCTGAAGCTCACCAAGGACGTGTACAAGTACCTCCAGCGATGCGTTGAGAACAACCAGGACTTCAACGTTCAGATGGCTGTCAAGGCCAGCATCATCACAAATGGTCTGAAGTACTCTTTGGCAACGGGCAACTGGGGTGACCAGAAGAAGGCCGCTTCCGCCAAGGCTGGTGTGTCCCAGGTGTTGAACCGATACACTTACGCCTCCACATTGTCGCATTTGCGTCGAACGAACACCCCAGTCGGTCGTGACGGCAAGCTAGCCAAGCCGCGACAACTTCACAACTCCCATTGGGGTCTTGTTTGCCCTGCCGAGACTCCTGAAGGACAAGCTTGTGGTCTGGTCAAGAACTTGTCTTTGATGTGCTACGTCAGTGTCGGTAGCGACGCGTCGCCTATCATCGACTTCATGACACAGCGAAACATGCAGCTTCTCGAAGAGTACGACCAAAACCAGAACCCAGATGCGACCAAGGTCTTCGTTAATGGTGTCTGGGTTGGTGTTCACTCCAACGCCCAACAACTTGTCACAGTCGTGCAGGAGCTGCGACGAAACGGAACTCTATCTTACGAGATGAGTTTGATTCGT